GAATCAACGTGAACTCGTCTGAACGTCCACTTATTGTGTCACTTTTCACATCGCACAGTCAAGATACTAACAAGTAATGAGAAATACCCAAAAGAGTGGATTTTGTGAGATGCCGCCTTTTAGACTGGATTTCATTTTGCTTTGTCAGTTCTGCAATTCCATCTGTGTTTTCTGCATCACAGAAATCATAGGACCCTACTTATTCCAGTGATGTAGGGAACAGGTGGAGGAGTAAGGCTTTGTCTCCCTTCAAAAGGGAGGTGTTGGGGGGGCACACATGAGGCAAATCCCATTTCCAAAGCATCTCAATTCTGGGATTGCATCCTCATGAGTGTGCATTTGTTGCCTGCTTACAGCACTGCCCTACGCCGGGAGCTGTCCCAAATCATGTGCTCCTTCCAATGCAGCCAACAAATGTGGGCCACAAAATCCTGAAAATGAAGGAAGCATSTGTGCATCCTTCCCAGTTGAGGATATTCCAGAATTCATAGTGCCATCAACAAATTCAACAGGAAAACTAAGATATCACCACAGAATTTTTTTTCTTTTACCAAGTCAGCACAGTTTGGAAATTCAGCACGRACCAAAGAATATGTTCTTAAATGTACACTATATTGCCAAAATTATTATCTCACCCATCCAAATGACCATAAAGACATGGATGTCAGAGTCTGGATGAACTTGACTGGTCTGCACAGAGTCCTGACCTCAACCTGATAGAACACCTTTGGGATGAATTAGAGCGGAGACTGAGAGCCAGGCCTTCTGTTCAACATCAGTATGTGACCTCACCAATGTGCTTCTRGAAGAATGGTCAAAAATCCCCATAAACACACTCCTAAACCTTGTGGACAGCCTTCAGAAGAGTTGAAGCTGTTCTAGCTGCAAAGGGTGGACAAACGTCATATTGAACCCTATGGATCAGGAATGGGASGTCACTTAAGCTCATCAAGGCAGGTGATCCAATACTTTTGGCAATAGTATATGTTCAGCAACTTAGCTGATGAAATTTATGCTAAAATGAGATGTTAAATAGCATGTAACAAGTAGTTCAATCAAATTATTAAAGTTTTTTTTTTTCATTTACGTGTAATGTTTTTAACTGTGAAGTTATTCCTTCAGTGAAAAAGATGTGAATATATGTCCTAATGCGTAAGACGTAGTACCATGGTAACAGGGTAGTGTGTGGTCACACACAAACATACGTCATTGAAACCCAGACCTTCTCATTTCACAGCAATTAAAACAATACTTGGTAAAACTACAAATCCTCAAAAACATGACCTAAGTACTGTAACAAAGTAAATGTACTTAGCTACTATACACCTCTGGTTTTCTCCAGTTCCTCTCACAGACCAAACACATGAATGTCAGATTATTGTGTGAATATAAAGTTGTCCATAGGTGTGAGTGAGCGAGTGAATGGTTGTTTCATTTGTCGATATGTCATCCTTTTGCAGCTGTGGCAGCCGTAAGAGAGCCCACCTCCCTGTGCAGCTGTAGCTATTCTTACCAGAAGGAACTGCTCCTAATCCTGGCCGTGGACATGTTCCCACAACATCTGTTGGRAACAGTGGCAGTCTTTTTGTGACAAATTAACATAATGTCACATCTCCTCCATTAACAACAGATACCAGATCTTCCTCCTCCAACTCATCCATCACCAACTGAAAATAAACATGAACTTTGCCACTCTTGTCACTGTATTGTTACTATTTGCATGTGATGTGTGCTGCAGTAGGAGTATAAAGGATGGGCTTTTACCAGCTCTTCTCCCACAGTTTCTCTTTAAGTATGAATTGTTCATGAGAAAAAACTGTCAACATCAACGAGATCTGACATCTCATCTTTGTTGAAGTATAATCAGCCATTATGTCCCGGTCTGAGGTGTCTTGTGAAAGGATGATTAGATTTATATAGTCTTGCTGGTAATGCATTCTAAAATGCATACATTATGTTTTCCTGTAATCTAACTCCAGCTTCTTATGACATTTAAAATTTACAGGACTTTTTTATATTAAAAATCATGAGGTAATAAAAAACGGGTTTAGGTCAAATTAAATAAATTTTACGGAAATTTGAATTTATGTCATATTAATTAT